AGTACGGTGTGCAGAAGGACCGAATGGACAAGGTACATATATCAGATCGTTATAATCAACATAGAGAGTACACTTGTTTCTGTTTTAGCATGACATTCAGAACCTGAAATACGGTTGTGAAAACTGTGTGTTTGTGCTCACTTCCTTTCTGAAAGTGCTGTTGTTGTCCTGGAGTGTTTCTCATCTTGATGTGTGTGTGTGTGTGTGTGCAGAGCGCAGGCACGTTTGAGGAGGTGGAGAAGCCGAGCACGGCGTATCAGAAGACCCGTCCCGTCGAAGCAGGTCAGAACCACAGGACCTCTGAGGAACAACGCTTTTGGGGACACGTTTCTTAATGCTGTCAATCAAACAACAGAAGAGAGAACATCTAAATCTAAGACAATCAAAGTCTTCACTGTATAAATGAAATTGAATAATTAATTGTAAAATAAGACTAATTCTATTCCTGAATACAGTTAGACTTGCCTGAAAACACAAAGCTCGTGATGAGCGCAGCCTGTAGGAGAAGTGTGTGATATGTGGATATTACGCTTCATAGCTGTGCTCTTGTTTAGCTGGGAACAGCGCCGGCAGCATCAAGGCCCGCTTCGAGAACATCGCCAAGCAGAAGGAGGAGGAGGACCAGAGGAGAGCCGAAGAAGAGCGCGCTCGACGGCAGGCCAAGGAGAAGCAGGAGCAGGAGGAGGCGCGCAGCCAGCTGAAGGTACACACACACACACACACACACACACGTCTGTCTGGTAGGACTGACACACATCTCAGGATTCAGCTCGATTCTAGATAATTCATTGGGAATATTTCAGGAACAGGAATAACTCTCTGATCTAAAGTAGGGACGAGTCAGGAGTTTCGAATATTCGGTTCGTTTATTTAATTATAGAGAATCGAGTAGGTTGTGCGATTAGGCCGATTGTCTAAAAAAAATCCCCATGTTTTCGGTGCTGATCTGGTGCGGGTGTGATGCGCTCATGTAACCAGAGGGTGGCGCTGTCAAATACACACCTCAACACTGTCAATCAACTCTGATGTTCATCATGTTTATTTGCAGCTGTAACTAGTAGAAGAGAGGAAGAGATGATCGGTTCATCCGTCACACACACACACATTATAAAATGGACAGCATTTGATTACTTACCAAAAGTACGAAAAAGATTATTGGACGGCTGAAGATTAGTGAAGTTTGTTCCTCAGCTGAAAACACAGACTGAGTGATTTAAGAAACGCCATCGCTTCGTCAAAATGAGAATGGATTGAAATCAAGAAACCGATGTTTTCACCCCAGCCCTGCAGTTCAGATGTGGTGGAATAATGCTCAATATGAAAAATGACTTATATTAGATTTAAAGGGATAGTTCACTTTGAAATTAATTTTTGATATGTTTTATCTTACCTCAAGGGCATCAAAGATGTCGGTGTCTTTGTTTCCACAGCATTTTCAATTTTGACATTTTTCAATCAAACCGTTGTTGTCTATCAGTCATACACTGGAGGCTAAGGGGGTCCACCAAAGAGAAGTCCAAATTAAACATGATTTAATGACTCGTACATGTAAGTACACATTGATGGCCTAAGACACGAAACGAGCGGTTTGTGTGAGAAAACCAACATATTTATATCGTTTTACCTCGTGTAATCACAGTGATCTGAATCAGTTGTTCAATGTCCAACTGAACCGAACTGAATCAGTTCAATGTTACGCCGGAAGTGATCGCTTGCGTGTGACGTCACTCAATATTTACACGGAGATTTCGGAAGTTTTACCTTTTACTAAACATATTTAGATATCCCGAAATCGTCTTCCATTGCGGTTTCCCGTATATCTAAATATGTTTAGTGAAAGGTAAAACTTCCCAAATCTCTGTATAAACAAAGAGTGACGTCGATCACTTCCAGACCGAAGCGCCCGTGCCGTCAGATCATTGTGTCATGGCTGTGATTACACGAGGTAAAACGATATAAATACTGTTGGTTTTCTCACACAAACCGCTCGTTTCGTGTCTTAGGCCATCAATGTGTACTTACATTTACGAGTCATTAAATCATGTTTCATTTGGACTTCTCTTTGGTGGACCCCCTTAGCCTCCAGTTTATGACTGATAGACAACAACGGTTTGACTGAAAAATATCAAAACTGAAAATACTGTGGAAACAAAGACACCTACATCTCGGATGCCCTTGAGGGAAGATAAAACATATCAAAAATTAATTTCAAAGTGAACTATCCCTACGCCATTAAAGCAGGACTCGACTAATAGAGACGAATTTGGCCTAAAATAAAGTGCATGTCTTCTCTGAACGCCGTCACACACCATCAGATCATGAGCTGGACGGGAGAACAACACACACTCCTGTTCATCATGTTAGATCTGAATGTGTTGGTGTGGAAAGATGACTGTAGTGTTTGTACCGGTTCGGTACTTTAGTTTCTAGATTAATGCCGGAACGGCTCTCACTCAATGTAACACATTAATAGGAAGTTCCTTAACAATGATTTTTAATGTGTTTCTAGTGTTTAACGCTGATCTGCACGTGTGTGTGGTGTACATGTGTTCACTGCGCCCTCTTGTGGAGTGCTGGTGTAAAACACTGATTCTCCCATGTGAGCTCCTTATGTGAGGTGTGTGTGTGTGTTAGGCGGAGCCCGTCAGCGAGCCGGTGGCGCACGTGTACGAGCTGGAGCCGGACCCAGCAGAACCCACATGTGAAGAACCGGTTCAGGAGGACCTGTACCTGAGCCCTGAGCCCGACGACCCCATCCAGACCTCAGGTGTGCTAATGCTACACTAAACCTAAACACATGAGCACTTGCATCCATCCATGTCTTTATGCACATCGTATTATGAGTAGTATTTTTTTGTTTTTCTGGCTGTTTGTTTATAGTGGCGATGGCCTGTAGAGACGTGTCCGTCTCAGACCCATCAGCCCGAGAATTAGCCCAAGCACTGTTCATATAATCAGAGTCATGTTCGCTTCAGTGCAGCTGTGGACCGGTAGCGGTCTCATGCTTCAGTGTGTAGCTTTGAGATGTGTTTAAGTGATGTGTGTGTGTGTGTGTGTGTGGTGCAGCTGCTCAGCCGGACGAGTACGGAGAGGATCTCGGTGTGACTGCCGTCGCTCTGTACGACTATCAGGCCGGTGAGAGAACGCTTTGAGTTCACAAACCCAACATTGAACATTGATGGAGGAACACATTTAGTGTGAAACACAGATCACAGCAGTGGTTCATTATGTTAAAAAAAATCATATAAATGTCTGAGGCGTTAAGGTCTATAAAAAAGTAAAGATTATGAAAGCATTGAAGGAGATCCTCATGATAATTTAATATAGATTTACTGTAGGCAAAATAAATGATATGATATGATATGATTAATATCATGGTGATTATCTCTAAGATGGACTCCCAATATATTTGACCTGAATATAACCATGTCATGTCAACAGCTGGATATATGCTTTAGTCCTTCCATCATTTGATGATGATGGTTTTTAAATGACACGTTGATCACCTCTACAGTGCATAGCAAAGAATAAAACATGTAGGTAAAGTTCCGGTTACCTTTTATTTATTTCTTCACTATTACGAAAAGTCTGAATTGTGAGGGAAAAAAGTGTTTCCACCATGGAATAAAAAATAAAAAGGAGACTTTCTCAACTTTTCCCCTCACAATTGGGTTTATATATCTCGCAATTCTGACTCACAGTTTTTAATTTTTGATTCTGAGAAAAAATTGCAATTTCCTTTTTTTTTTTAATTATTATTTCATGGCGGAAACAAGCTTCAATAATAACTTGCCGTTTCTTTAAAAATGGTTTCAATTTCACGAATAATTGCAATTTTCATTTTTTTAAATTCAATATCAGTTTTGTTGCTGTTTCGTTATGTTTTAATTGCACGGCTGCCTCTTAAGAGCAGGAAGTGATGTAACACGCCTCTGTTCCTCCCCAGCGGGTGATGATGAGATTTCCTTCGACCCCGATGACATCATCACCAACATCGAGATGATCGACGAGGGCTGGTGGAGGGGTGTGTGTCGGGGCTCGTACGGACTCTTCCCGGCCAATTACGTGGAGGTCCGGCAGTAGACTCGCTCGGCCCTCGGCTCCAGGCTTCCTCTCTTCTCTTCTTCCTCTTTCTCTCGCGCCAGCGTTCGTCTCAACGCTCGCGTCCCATTCATGTCAGTAGGCCTGAGTAGATGCCTCTGCCAATAGAGATTTATGACACTTCTAAGAGCGTTTACACACACACACACACACACACACATGCGATGTGTTGAAATAAGAGAGTAGACCAAAGTTCAGAGGTCTTCTGGTGTCTTTGAGAGTAACTCATGCACATGTGCGGCTTCTAAAGCTGCGTCCGGACGAACTCTTTGTTCATTTTAGTGTCTTTTTTTGCAGTGTTGAAATGGGGAACAAATTAATTATGTTTGAAAATATGAATGAAGGCCAAACCGCGATGCCACAATAATCACTGCAGTGCTTCGCAGTGCTTGAAACGGTTCATAAGAATCGCTTGAATGGTTTTTGAAGGGTTGTGTATTAAATCAGATGCTGATGTCTTATGTGTGCGTCTCGTCGTCTCGTGCTTCTGATTCGTCTGTCAGGTGTTCGGCCACATCTGGACACGCTCTTGATGTGCTGGACACGTCGGTGTTTCTGTGAGTGCATGGTGTTTCTGTTTCTGACAGCCCAATTATAGCCAATAATGCGCGTGACAAACGACAATCGGTGCCGTCGAGTCGATACTGGACAACAGCGACCGCTAATGACGTAATCTGGTGTGTAGTAACCTTTTCAAACAAAGTCTGTGCTTCTCTATACTGGCTCTCTTTACAAGGCTGTTTTATAAGAAATATCATTTAAAAATAAAACAAGAAAAAAACTAGTGTTTCGGGTATTTTTCACAATCCTTCATGTGGCCACACGTGTGGAACGTTATTTCTCTGTTAGTAATTGTAATAAAGTGCAAATGTTTGTTAGACACATTGACGCACGTTACGTTACCAGAGCCAAAATTAATTTATTTCAGATTTAGTCGCCATACAAGGTGTAAATTCACTCCTCCCACAAATCCCACAATACGTTTTCTTGATCATTGCAGTGAGTCTCTACTTTAGAAGGTCTTTAACAACATTAACAGAGTGAACACATGGAAGCAAAGTAAAGCAACTTAGGATCAAGTCAAAGGGAAAACTCAAAGCTAATCAACAGGACACTGACAATGCCATATTATATATAAGGTAAATATTGTGCTTATGATGTGACAGGTACATTATCTAAATATATACAGTATACATTAATCATAGTATAAATATTTTGCGTTTTGAATTTGCTATATTAAGAATCTTATTCAAACATTTGACTTTTTGGCAAACCACAGTTCAGTGGGAACAACACCATTGAAACCGCATTATAAAAGGCAATATAATTATATTAATCCAAAATACACTTACTCTATTATATGTGCTATCTAAATAGGATCTATTGTATAAAAATGACTTGTTCACAGTAGCAGCAGAGTATTAAAAATATCGTGGTCTATATCAGTCCTACTGGGATCTCAGCAGCAGATATTGCTCCTCTCCTCAGAGATATCCCACTCTCAGTACAAGATTAAAAAAAGTACTTCTCACAATCAATGTGTACATGCATTCTGCATGCTGGATAACAGTTTATAAATTAAGAAACATGATTGAAGTTTTATAACGGCTTAAAACATCCTCTATAAACTCGCTTATGGAATCTCTAAAACTGCAGCTCATGTTAAAGTAGGGGCAATTTCCACTTCATGCTGATCTTCTTCTAAATCTGTATATTGTATAATATTTTGACACTAATTTAATCAAAATGCCACAACAGATCATTCAGTGAAACAATACACGTATGTAAAAATTCAATCATTTGCTGCACATAAACCCCATAATCAATGCAAGCTTGCCTTTAAATCTCCATCCCACTGATGACCAGTGCATTGACCCAAGCCACAGTGCGAAATAAAACAAAACCCTGTTCCTACTTTAATGTGCTGCGGCTTCATTATTATAGGTGCACAATAATTAGGCCTGATATCAGATCTGCATCACACTCTCAATTAGAAACGCTCTTCCTCTCTCAAGCCTTAGTCATCCTATGAACATAGATCAGAATCAACCTTAAAATGCCAAAATTACCTAAAATAAATAGGTGAGCCAAAAGAATGTTGAAAAAGGGGTTAGTTCGGGAACGCTTGCGTGTATTTTGTAGCATTTCTTGCCATCAGGATCAAACAACATGGACGAGGCTGTACACGACGTCTTGTCCTCATGCAATCCCATTGAAAACAAGAAGCATCATGAACAAAGGTCCTGAAATGTGTGGATGTTTCTGTGCATGTCCAAGCCTGAGTGAATCCAACGCTTTCAGCTAGCCTTATGAAACAGCTGTCCACGTTTTCTGCAACAACATACAGAACGCGTACAGACAACACCTGATGAAATATTCCTGTATCAAAGGTAAAAAAGGACCTCCCAGCTTTGCTGGTTACAGTTGCTCCTGATATTAAAATGAAGCTTCGGATCATAAGAACGAGTGCACGTAGACTTGTTCCTGATTGCAGTTTTTGTTCATTGGTTCTGACCACAAGATCATCCCAACCCTTCCAACAGGAGATGCAGCACAGACTGATGAACATCGGAGGAGACGAGGGATTGGTCGAGTTGATATCCGTTACCGCACCTTTATCGGTCCATTAGAAGTTTGAGACCCCTCTCAATGTTCATCCGGTGCCCAACACGGGTGACACCCAAGTCTACAAGGTCTTCTTTCTGGAGATTAGGAAGGTGGGCGCCCTCAATTTCATTGTCCAAGAACTTCTTCTTGTGTTCTGCCAAGTTGAGGCTTTCCAGCCAGTCGGCTACATCATGCTTGGTCCAGACTAGGACGGGTTTGTCAGCGAAAGGCTTGTCGGCAGCCGCCTGGAGCAGCGTGAGTGGGGACAGCGATCGACTGCTGACTGAGCTGAGGCTGTGGCATTGCTCCGCGTTCACTACGGGTGGAGACGGCAGGCTGAACGCATCCCTTAATGAAGCAGATCCGGCAGAGCCCTGCAGAGAAGAGCTGCGACCCGACTCAGGAGGACTGGAAGCCTGAGGAGGCAAGTGTGTTGATGAAGAAGAAGCCACTGAGCTGCTGTGTTTGGCACCTGAGGCTTGGCTCATCCACTCTCTGAAAACACATATGCAGAAAGAAGTGTGTTAAGGAAAAGAACATTTGTGTTGACAACACCACCAAACTATTCTGTCAATAAATGTGGCTCAAAGGAGCGCAGACAGCAACATGGTGTCGACCCACATCTGGTATGAGGGGAATCCATGTGTACCAGATGTGTGACGGATCTGGGCCAACACTATGACACACGACACACTCAGTTAAAGGAGTAGTCACTTCAGATATTTTTCTCTCCCCCACGTCATCCAAGCTGTTCATGTCTTGCTTTCCTCAGTGGAAAAGAAATCAAGGATTTTGAGAAAAACATTTCAGCACTTTACTCCATATAGTGACTTCAATGGGGTCAAACGGGTTGGTCCCACGTGTGCCCTTTCAACGTGATTATGTAATCTTTACTTTTCGACTGAAGAAAGAAAGACGTGAACATCTTGGATGACGTGGGGGTGGTAAAGCAAAATAATTTTAAGTCGAATGTAGAGACACCTTTAGTTACAAATACAAGGACCTTTGTCTAGGCAGAAGTTCCAGGATAAGCATGTGCTTCCAAGATCTTCTGAAACGGGCGTAGGGCACCTGCTTTGCTTTGACTCGACTCTTTTATCTTGTTAATCCGTCACAAATTTCATGAGATTAACATATGTAAAGCTTGTAACCATGTCCGTGTATTAAAAGATTATTTCACAGCTGTAACAACATTTGGATAGCATTTAATCTTTTTTTTATTCGTGTTGTCCTTGATCTACCCCAGGAGTGTCTAATCTACAATCTTTACACAGCTTGGACTTACTGTACCTATAGGCCAGACACAGTCCTACCTTTGAATATTAGGTTACACTTTATTTCGATAGTCCACTTTAGACGTTCTACTAACTTTTCAACTAACTGTAATTAGAGTATTAGTAGACTATATTAGACTGTCAGTAGACTGTTAGTTTATGATTTGGGTTAGGAGAATAAGTTGACCTGTATTTGTAAAGTTACTTGTAGTCAGTAGAATATCTAAAGTGGACTATCCAAATAAAGTATTACAGAATTTTATTTTCTGCAGATAAATCTCACATGAGACTAAGCTCTTATTGTGCTCCTCACCTTGATCCAATGCTTCTGGATCCTGCAGGTGGGTCGAGAGGTTCTCCCCGTTTCGGAAGTCTGTCCTTGTTGATCTGTTGAAGTTTAGAACTGAGTTCACTGATCACGTTGACTTTAGGATCTGCATTGGCCGGGAGCTCATGGGCGCCTCTCCCCAGTTTAGAGCCCCGCTGATCAAGTGTCTTGTGAGGCTCAGATTGGGCTACATCATCCCAGGGTGGAGGAGGAGGTGGTGGCCGTCCAAACGAGTCTATGCTCTCCTCCATCAAAGAGTTCCTGTAAAGTGCATTGCTTTTGTTGATTATGGGCTTCGTTTTTGGCTTCGGTGGAACCGGCGGTCGCTCCACCTCTGCCTGCCCGTCTACATAGGCTATGTATGAGTCCTCAAGTCCCTCAAATGAAAGAGTACAGACACTGGACATTGTGGAGATTGTGCTGTTTGCCTCAAAGTGAGGATCCCCACTGTTTCGACTAAAAAGTTCCTCAATGCCTGAGTCCGTGACAGGCTCGAAACTCTCTGGAGGTGGTGGAGGGTAGGTGTGGGGATTCATGCAATTCGCAAGCCCTGAAAGACACTTGGACTCCACACTGTTCATTGCAGACGCATGACAAGGATAAACGGGCAAGGGTCCCCTTGTTGCGTGACTCTTTTTCTGCTTGAGGATCTCTGCAACCTGGTCCTCAGGAACATCAATGCTGTTGGCAAACTCCAGAGGTGGAGGAAAGGGTTCAGGCAAGTCAAACTCCTCATCAAAATCCACTGAGCTCAGTGGGGGAAGAGGAATGCCACAGGAGAAGTTGGCAGGCTCCTCCACGGATGCGGCAGAGGTCCTTGTATGAGATGGCTGGGAGTTGGGGGATATACGTTTGCCATAGGACTCACTGTCCAGGGACTCTTCTCGTCTGAATCCATCAGACTGACTATTCACTTGTGGCTTGGTCTTATCTAGTGTGTGGACCATGAGGAGCCCCTCTGACTGTTGTTGCGACGCGCTATAGTTGTTCTTCAACTGCTCGGATGGATTACGTTCCTTCGCCGCCTTTGTGGCATGATTGGACTCTCTTGTGTGCCTAAACAAACCTCCACAATCTTTTGGTTGAGCTGTGGCAACAAAGCTGGCTTCAATATTGGACCGTAGCTTGGTGTCAATGAAGAGTGGCTGGTTGAGGTTCGCTTTGCGAGATTCTCCTTTAGGTGGAGGAAGAGGGGGTTGCACTTGCTCCTTCACAGCAGCTCTATTTCTGGCCTGGTGTTGGAAATCTCCATCATTTAAAGTCATGGGACTGCCTGTGTTGGGGCAGTTCTCGGTGCGTGTTGTGAAGGGCTCAGTTGGTTCGGGGAGGGTAAAGTCTGTCATGTTGCCTCCACTTCTAAGTCGCTGGAACCCTAATAAAGGAGCCGGAGGAGCCATATGCATTTCTAAACTCTTATCAAAAGCAAACATGCCTTCATCTATGGACATAGACTGGCGTAAACGGGGGGTGGGGATAGATGAATCCTCGTCTCCGAGATCCATTGACAGAAAGGCATGGGTGTTCTTGCGTGCTTCAAGACGCTTCTCACGGTCACGTACGGCCCCGGCAATAGCAGCTGCAAAAGGGTTGCTCGCGGTGAACCCTCCGGTGTCCTCCGGTCGTAGCTGGCCTGTTGGCTCAGAAGTGGGAGTCTCAATTTCCATGCTTCCTTCTCGGCTACTTTTGCCACTACTGCTAGTTGAAGGCTCTTTCACAATAATGGTTGGTATCTGGATTGAACTGGTTTTATCAGAGCTATCCTCAACATTTGGCTGCTTTATCAGTATACCCTTCCTGCGGGCTGGTTTCGGTGGGACGTACAGAAGTTTGCCAGCTATGTCTGAGTATGGGTTCTCCGGCACATGGGCCTTGTTATGTGTGCACATGTTTTGCTGGCTGGCTGGATAAGTCTGATAGTCATATTGTTCAAAGTTCTGCCGATGGTACGCGACCTGGTCTCTTTCTATGGTGTGGCATCTGCCTGTTGAGCTCTGTGTGTAAATGGACTGGTTGGGCTCATATCTCATAGGAGTACTGGGGTTGTAAGGTGGGGATGGAGGAGAGACGCCTGGAGGTGGGGGGATTTCCTCAGATGTGTCGGGCATGGAGAGACTTCTGGTGAACTTCAGTGGAGGTATCAGTAACTTCCTTTCTTCCCCTGCGATTCCTGGAGAAATGATCATGTGACATGTTTAGACCAGTTGACAAGTTACTTGTTTTTGTTACAAACATATCCTCATAAAACCATTCTCAAATCATGCAGTTCATGCCTGATTCGACTGTTTGAGTCATTGCTTTTCAAATCATTTTCATTTAAAATTAAAAAAATTAAATAATTAAACATTTTAATAAATTTTGACCAAATTTAATTTTGCTCATTTGAAAGAGTTCTGAAGAAATGCTAAATGAAACTGAAGGGTAACGCTGACCCTAACAGTCTACTAATACGCTAATGAGAGTTAGTTGACGTGTAGTTGCAAAGTTACGTAGAGTAGAAAGTCTAAAGCGAACCATGAGTTGATGAGGTTCATTTTTTGTGGTTTCAGTTGTATTTACATTCAGTTAGTTTAAGTACAAACTTACTGATGAATTGTGATATCTGTGTTAAAACATTTGCAGACTCATTTACACACACACACATATGTGAGTCTATTAGTTAATGGCTGTAATTTCAATGTGCTTTGAATAAAATAAAAACTCTCAACAGTTTCTGTTTGGTCAATGAGTGTCATGAGCGAATTTAACCAATTATTTTAATAAGAATCCTTTTCATTCATGAAGCAGTTCTGATGCGAAGTGGAAAAGGCAGAAATAGATTATTTACCAATGGATTTTTGTCTTTTCATGGAGCTTTTTGGCACACGAATGTAACTTCCATGGGATCTCCCAGGAACATTAGGAGGAACTATAGCGACTCCGGGCCTTTCAGAGCTGGACTGCTGTAAATCAGATTGCAAACACACACACATACAGTTTCAGATCGTTTTAATCATCAATCACAATTATAATCTAACCCAGCTAACAAGGTACATTCTCAGAAGTTATGAACAAACACTCTTCCAGGAACAATAGTAGAATGTTTGTTTAGATATCTTGTCTTTAATAATGTTCTAAAAATGTTACCCAAAACATCTACCATCTAACCGTTACAGAACTTTTAGAGAACATTCAAAAGAATCACTCCCATAATGTTTGCAGTATGATTAAATAACCAAGAAACGTTTTAACGTTTCTGTTCAGGGTTTATTAAAAAAAATATTTTCATTATTTGATGGAAATGTTTGCAAAACATTCTTAGAAAAAATATGTATTGGCTGGGAACACTGGTTATTGCGTGTAATTTCAGGCTACAAGACAACGGGTGCGACTCACAGTGACATCCATGCATGCCGCCGAACAGCGGCTGGAGGGGCGGGTTTGATCGTGGCGACTGCAGAGGCTTTCCCATTGGCTGGTTTCTGCAGATGCACAGTCTCTTCCACTTTATCTGCAAAGACAATAATGTCTGAGGGACAGGAGGAATAAAACCAGCATTCGGTCTCTGAGACAGGCATCTGCTCTGCAACGGTTGACCACGGTTTTAAAGTAAGGCATGTAAGACTGAACTCACCCAGTTCTTCTAGTTCAGATGTCATGGACTTGGATCTCATTGAGAGTGCAGTTGTTGGAGCTCTTTTGGGTGGAGGAGGAGCTACAACACACGCACACGCACACACACACACACATGTGACTCCTTACTTTCTGTATCATGTACTCTGTATCTGTATCATATAACAATATTTACAGTATGATAGCATTACATAACTTTAGATTTTTCAAAATGAACAAACATTCTGATTCCATCGGCCTGATTAAAGCACTCACATTACAACATTTCCCATTTCTGTAGTTATCATCCATGTTAATCTAGCTCTGTTTATCACTCATTCACCGTACCATGTTAACATTGTAACACACTAAACCTAGTAAAATTATGTTTAGTTACAAAATACTGTTGCACCCCCCAATCCATAATTTTGTCTGAAATGTTTCAGTTGGATGTTGATCTTGTGTTTTAAATGTCACTAGGCCTACTTGTTTCAGAACATTCATTCGTTCCCATGTTTGAAGAATGATACAATGTATCGTTTGCTTAACGGTCACATGACCAAGAAAAAACATGTTTAAAGAGCAGAACATTTAGAATTTTCAGAAAACATTCAGAAATAAAATAAGAAAATCGTTCTTAGAACATATTATCGTTAGTGTGTCGGTCGATTCCTCGATTCCTCGAGGATTGTCGTACCTTTCTTCCGGGTTTTGTCGTCTTGCTCCGGATTCCTGCTGACTCTCACCACTTTAATGACGAGTCGGTTTCCTCCGTGTTTAATCATGTTTACGACCTGCCGATGCCCCATCTTCACCACATCCTGATGATTGACCTGTCACACACACACAGGTCACAGGTTACTGGTGAACAGTGATTACATCATGCAGATTATTTCAGAGGATGACAGAAGAGATTGAACTAGCGATGGAGAATATCTGCCCCGTATTTAAAATCACAACCAGTGACGCAAATGAATAATTCTTCCGAGTCTGTTGTTCTCAGTGAATCATGTGCAGTCTGAAGTGATTTGTGATAGAGTTAGATTGGTTTGACCTGCTCTCTCTCTCTCTCTCTCACTGAACACAGAGAACTGGGTCCTGATGACGAGAGAAATATAGCAGAAGTGTGGAGATTTAACCACAATACAGCTTCGAGAAGTGAATCAATCAATGATTTCATTTATATTCTACTGCACTCAGTGGGCCCCCTGAGTCTGTGACACCAAGCGCCAGCCCATAATTCCACCGTCTACGAACCCACTATTTTTATAATGGCATAAATGCTACGTGGGATCTCAATATCTCAGCTCTGGAAGGGTCTAGAGTCTCCATTTTTGCACTCAGGTTTAAGTCTCATGGCCCTCTATCAGAATCCAGAGTTTTGAGAAGATTGGAGAACCTTAATTTTTCGCCCGAAAAAAAAAAACGTAAGGGGTACCACTGTCATTTTTTTTTTCGGGTCGAATTATTGAGTTTCGATATCTCAGCTCTGGAAGGGTCTAGAGCCTCCATTTTTGCACTCAGGTATAAGTCTCATGGCCCTCTATCAGAATCCAGAGTTTTGAGAAGATTGGAGAACCTTAATTTTTCGCCCGAAAAAAAAAAACGTAAGGGGTACCACTGTCATTTTTTTTTTTCGGGTCGAATTATTGAGTTTCGATATCTCAGCTCTGGAAGGGTCTAGAGCCTCCATTTTTGCACTCAGGTTTAAGTCTCATTGCCCTCTATCAGAATCCAGAGTTTTGAGAAGATTGGAGAACCTTCATTTTTCGCCCGAAAAAAAAAAACCGTAAGGGGTACCACTGTCATTTTTTTTTCGGGTCGAATTATTGAGTTTCGATATCTCAGCTCTGGAAGGGTCTAGAGCCTCCATTTTTGCACTCAGGTTTAAGTCTCATTGCCCTCTATCAGAATCCAGAGTTTTGAGAAGATTGGAGAACCTTAATTTTCGCCCGAAAAAAAAAAACGTAAGGGGTACCACTGTCGTTTTTTTTCGGGTCGAATTTTGAGTTTCGATATCTCAGCTCTGGAAGGGTCTAGAGCCTCCATTTTTGCACTCAGGTTTAAGTCTCATGGCCCTCTATCAGAATCCAGAGTTTTGAGAAGATTGGAGAACTTAATTTTTCGCCCGAAAAAAAAAAAACGTAAGGGGTACCACTGTCGTTTTTTTTTCGGGGTCGAATTTTTGAGTTTCGATATCTCAGCTCTGGAAGGGTCTAGAGCCTCCATTTTTGCACTCAGGTTTAAGTCTCATGGCCCTCTATCAGAATCCAGAGTTTTGAGAAGATTGGAGAACCTTAATTTTTCGCCCGAAAAAAAAAAAACGTAAGGGGTACCACTGTCGTTTTTTTTCAGGGTCGAATTTTTGAGTTTCGATATCTCAGCTCTGGAAGGGTCTAGAGCCTCCATTTTTGCACTCAGGTATAAGTCTCATGGCCCTCTATCAGAATCCAGAGTTTTGAGAAGATTGGAGAACCTTAATTTTTCGCCCGAAAAAAAAAAAACGTAAGGGGTACCACTGTCGTTTTTTTTTCGGGTCGAATTTTTGAGTTTCGATATCTCAGCTCTGGAAGGGTCTAGAGCCTCCATTTTTGCACTCAGGTTTAAGTCTCATGGCCCTCTATCAGAATCCAGAGTTTTGAGAAGATTGGAGAACCTTAATTTTTCGCCCGAAAAAAAAAAAAATAAGGGGTACCACTGTCGTTTTTTTTTCGGGTCGAATTTTTGAGTTTCGATATCTCAGCTCTGGAAGGGTCTAGAGCCTCCATTTTTGCACTCAGGTTTAAGTCTCATGGCCCTTTATCAGAATCCAGAGTTTTGAGAAGATTGGAGAACCTTAATTTTTCGCCCGAAAAAAAAAACGTAAGGGGTACCACTGTCGTTTTTTTTTCGGGTCGATTTTTGAGTTTCGATATCTCAGCTCTGGAAGGGTCTAGAGCCTCCATTTTTGCACTCAGGTTTAAGTCTCATGGCCCTCTATCAGAATCCAGAGTTTTGAGAAGATTGGAGAACCTTAATTTTTCGCCCGAAAAAAAAAAAAAACGTAAGGGGTACCACTGTCGTTTTTTTTTCGGGTCGAATTTTTGAGTTTCGATATCTCAGCTCTGGAAGGGTCTAGAGCCTCCATTTTTGCACTCAGGTTTAAGTCTCATGGCCCTCTATCAGAATCCAGAGTTTTGAGAAGATTGGAGAACCTTAATTTTTCGCCCGAAAAAAAAAAACGTAAGGGGTACCACTGTCGTTTTTTTTCAGGGTCGAATTTTTGAGTTTCGATATCTCAGCTCTGGAAGGGTCTAGAGCCTCCATTTTTGCACTCAGGTTTAAGTCTCATGGCCCTTTATCAGAATCCAGAGTTTTGAGAAGATTGGAGAACCTTAATTTTTCGCCCGAAAAAAAAAAACGTAAGGGGTACCACTGTCGTTTTTTTTCGGGTCGAATTTTTGAGTTTCGATATCTCAGCTCTGGAAGGGTCTAGAGCCTCCATTTTTGCACTCAGGTTTAAGTCTCATGGCCCTCTATCAGAATCCAGAGTTTTGAGAAGATTGGAGAACCTTAATTTTTCGCCCGAAAAAAAAAAAAACGTAAGGGGTACCACTGTCGTTTTTTTTTCGGGTCGAATTTTTGAGTTTCGATATCTCAGCTCTGGAAGGGTCTAGAGCCTCCATTTTTGCACTCAGGTCTAAGTCTCATGGCCCTCTATCAGAATCCAGAGTTTTGAGAAGATTGGAGAACCTTAATTTTTCGCCCGAAAAAAAAAAAACGTAAGGGGTACCACTGTCGTTTTTTTTCGGGTCGAATTTTTGAGTTTCGATATCTCAGCTCTGGAAGGGTCTAGAGCCTCCATTTTTGCACTCAGGTTTAAGTCTCATGGCCCTCTATCAGAATCCAGAGTTTTGAGAAGATTGGAGAACCTTAATTTTTCGCCCAAAAAAAAAAACGTAAGGGGTACCACTGTCGTTTTTTTTTCGGGTCGAATTTTTGAGTTTCGATATCTCAGCTCTGGAAGGGTCTAGAGCCTCCATTTTTGCACTCAGGTTTAAGTCTCATGGCCCTCTATCAGAATCCAGAGTTTTGAGAAGATTGGAGAACCTTAATTTTTCGCCCGAAAAAAAAAAAAACGTAAGGGGTACCACTGTCGTTTTTTTTTTCGGGTCGAATTTTTGAGTTTCGATATCTCAGCTCTGGAAGGGTCTAGAGCCTCCATTTTTGCACTCAGGTATAAGTCTCATGGCCCTCTATCAGAATCCAGAGTTTTGAGAAGATTGGAGAACCTTAATTTTTCGCCCGAAAAAAAAAAACGTAAGGGGTACCACTGTCGTTTTTTTTCGGGTCGAATTTTTGAGTTTCGATATCTCAGCTCTGGAAGGGTCTAGAGCCTCCATTTTTGCACTCATTAAGTCTCATGGCCCTCTATCAGAATCCAGAGTTTTGAGAAGATTGGAGAACCTTAATTTTTCGCCGAAAAAAAAAAACGTAAGGGGTACCACTGTCGTTTTTTTTTTCGGGTCGAATTTTTGAGTTTCGATATCTCAGCTCTGGAAGGGTCTAGAGCCTCCATTTTTGCACTCAGGTTTAAGTCTCATGGCCCTCTATCAGAATCCAGAGTTTTGAGAAGATTGGAGAACCTTAATTTTTCGCCCGAAAAAAAAAACGTAAGGGTACCACTGTCGTTTTTTTTTCGGGTCGAATTTTTGAGTTTCGATATCTCAGCTCTGGAAGGGTCTAGAGCCTCCATTTTTGCACTCAGGTTTAAGTCTCATGGCCCTCTATCAGAATCCAGAGTTTTGAGAAGATTGGAGAACCTTAATTTTTCGCCCGAAAAAAAAAAAACGTAAGGGGTACCACTGTCGTTTTTTTTTTCGGGTCGAATTTTTGAGTTTCGATATCTCAGCTCTGGAAGGGTCTAGAGCCTCCATTTTTGCACTCAGGTTTAAGTCTCATGGCCCTCTATCAGAATCCAGAGTTTTGAGAAGATTGGAGAACCTTAATTTTTCGCCCGAAAAAAAAAAAACGTAAGGGGTACCACTGTCGTTTTTTTTTGGGTCGAATTTTTGAGTTTCGATATCTCAGCTCTGGAAGGGTCTAGAGCCTCCATTTTTGCACTCAGGTTTAAGTCTCATGGCCCTCTATCAGAATCCAGAGTTTTGAGAAGATTGGAGAACCTTAATTTTTCGCCCGAAAAAAAAAACGTAAGGGGTACCACTGTCGTTTTTTTTCGGGTCGAATTTTTGAGTTTCGATATCTCAGCTCTGGAAGGGTCTAGAGCCTCCATTTTTGCACTCAGGTTAAGTCTCATGGCCCTCTATCAGAATCCAGAGTTTGAGAAGATTGGAGAACTTAATTTTTCGCCCGAAAAAAAAAAACGTAAGGGGTACCACTGTCGTTTTTTTTTCGGGTCGAATTTTTGAGTTTCGATATCTCAGCTCTGGAAGGGTCTAGAGCCTCCATTTTTGCACTCAGGTCTAAGTCTCATGGCCCTCTATCAGAATCCAGAGTTTTGAGAAGATTGGAGAACCTTAATTTTTCGCCCGAAAAAAAAAACGTAAGGGGTACCACTGTCGTTTTTTTTTCGGGTCGAATTTTGAGTTTCGATATCTCAGCTCTGGAAGGGTCTAGAGCCTCCATTTTTGCACTCAGGTTAAGTCTCATGGCCCTCTATCAGAATCCAGAGTTTTGAGAAGATTGGAGAAACTTAATTTTTCGCCCGAAAAAAAAAAAACGTAAGGGGTACCACTGTCGTTTTTTTTTCCGGGTCGAATTTTTGAGTTTCGATATCTCAGCTCTGGAAGGGTCTAGAGCCTCCATTTTTGCACTCAGGTTAAGTCTCATGGCC